ATCTGATTAAAGAAAGATTGAAAGCTGCACAAGATCGACAACAGAAGTATTACAATCAGAAGCACAGATTTGTGGAATTTCAAGTTGATGACTTTGTGTATGTCAAAGTCAGTCCGATGAAAGGAGTCAGCAGATTTGGAAGAGTGAGTAAGCTCAGTCCAAGATATGTTGGACCTTTTGAAATCCTTGAAAGGATTGGTAAGTCTGCTTACAGACTGTTATTATCTAATCAGATGTCTGATGTGCACAATGTTTTTCACGTATCTACTTTGAGAAAGTGGATATTTGATTCTGAAAAGAAATTGTCTGCTTATGAAGTGGAGATTCAGAAGAATCTGAGGTATGAAGAAGAACCTGAGTTGATTTTGGCTTATAATGTTCGTAAGTTAAGAAGTAAACAAATTTCTATGGTTAAAGTTCAGTGGAAGCACCGAACAGCATGAGAAGCGACTTGGGAGAAGGAGTCGGACATGAGGCAAGTATATCCGTATCTTCTCTGGCTAAGTTTTGGTTTGGCAATGTCGAGGACAACATTTTTCTAAAGTTGGGGAGATTGTAAAGACCATTTTGCTCCCAGGTTCGTCCGGAAGAAGTTGGATCGTCCAATACGATCGGTACAGGTTGTGCAGGAAAATATTTCTGGCTGCATGGTTCATTTGGACGAAATTCGGATCGTGTGGACGAAAATCGTCCAAAGAGCAAGTCGTCCGAGATATTATTTAATTTCGTCTGGACGAAATTCTTCCAGAGCCCAAATTGTCCCGGGACGAAGTTGCGATCGTCCGGGATGATCAGTCTGGATATATAGGAATGAGATATTTTTGAAAAGAAAAATGATGTCCAGGAGAGAGAAAAATGAAGGAAAAGAAGGAAAGAGGATTTTTGGGCGACTCCGGTCCGTTTTCGTTCGTTGCTGTAGTTAGAGAAGTTGACCGACTCGAGGTAAGGAACATTCCGCCTTTCTCAATTTTCAGAAACGAGATTTTTGATGCATTTTCTGTTCCGGATTTTGTTTCCATTAGCGAATTTCTGGTATTATTTTCTTCTGACAAAGGTTTTACCACGTAACTTTTGGTATGTCTCTGAGATGATAATTGTGCACGTTTTGAGTATTTTCTAGAAGATTTTTACCAGATATTTTGGATTCTGTGGTGTTTTAATTGAATTGCAATTTATCAGGATGTTGAAAAATGTTTTGTCAGTACAGTGAAAGTCTTACAATGTTGTTGTGAATGATCTGTGGTAATTTGGTAAATTTTTGAATCTGTAAATTTTGTGTAAATTTTGTATACTGTCATTATGCCGCTGAATTTTTGTATGATTTCTGAATTTCTGAAATGATATTATTTGAATAAATTGATTATTTGTATGCTATCAGAAGGGAGTTATAAGGGGCCAGAATCCTTTGTGATTTCGTTGTCTGGGTCATGGAAGAGAGATATAAGGGGAAGTTCTGAAATCTGAAATTATGTATATCTGTTATGATCTGGTGCTATAAGCACAAAAGGGAGCCATAAGGGGAAGTTCTGGTGCTATAAGCACAAGAGAGATATAAGGGGAAGTTTTGACATCTGGAAGGAAGTTCTGTTCTGAAATTATCTGTTCTGTAAAGCTGTAATGTGATTATTTCTGCTATAACTTATGTACGTTATTGGTTATTCTGTACGATCATATCTGATCTGTGATTTGAAGCTTTATGATCTCTGATTTGAATTGGGATTTTGATATGACTTAAGTTTTTTATATCCGATGTTTGATTTCTGATTGAGCTATTATCTGTTCTGTCTGTTATATGATTTTTGTACGATTGTTCGAATTCTGTACGGATACTTTTCTGATACATTTTTTGATGTGAGTTTCTAATGATTTTGATTGTTGATTGATGTCTTGCTGAGCTGTTAGCTCATCCTTATTTTCTATGTGGTTTTTAGGTTCTGGGAAAGGGAAAGAGGTCTTGGACTAGACGTTCTGAGTCTGATCTGTGATTAGGTACTTGATACTTTTGATTTTTGTACAGTCGTGGCTTTTTTGTTCTGTTCTGTTCTTTCTGTCTGAAGCCTTGCACTGTATCTGTATATGTTTATTTTGAGGAAAGAAAAGATAGATAAACTATTCTGCATTCGGATGTTTATAGTAGCTCTGTGTTTTTCTGTCTGTTTAATACTTGGAAGAAAATTCTGAAGCAAATTCCAAAGCCAGATCCTAGATTTTCAATGGTTATGTCGCGGCCCGATGCGAGTGGGATCCGTCCCGGTCGGGTTGGGTCGTGGCAATGAGAGCGAGTACAGGGCCTACCCACGTCACCGTAGGTACCTCGCCAGGTTTTCCCCCACCACGCTACGAGAGAATGTGTAGCTGGTTCCCAATGCGCCATGTGTATCAAAAATTTGGTTTGAGGGTTTTGAGTTTGAAACATCATTATACCTTCATAATGAGGATGACAATGACGGTGTCTAAGTGATGACAATATTGAGGAAAATGTGTAATATGATCAAAGCATAAAAATCTCTCTCTTTTTTTTCCTTTCTTTTTCTTTCCCCTTTTAAGACTCTTTCTGATTTTCTCTCCTTTTTTAAATAATAATAATAATAATAGTAATAGAGAGAGGAAAATGGAGAGTGGGTTAGGACGAAAGAGCAAATATTCTTTGTTTAGAGAGGGAGTGATGTTGGCTTATTTTGGTTGATTAGAGAGGAGGAAATGTGGTTGATTTGGTTTGCTGAGATGGAGGAAGATGGTTGCTTTACAGAAAGGTGACAGGGATGGTTGAGTGGTTTATTGTAGAAGCTAATAGTAAGAAGAGTCACCACGTAGAGCTGTTGGGTTAAGGTTTTGTGTCAAGTTGATGGGAAGTGGGGGCTAGAGTTGGTTATTAAGTTGTTATAGGTCAAGAGCATATGGTGTTCATGAGCATACAATAGCTTGAAAAGTGGAATGAGGTTGAATTAGGGTATAGTTTGATTTGTAATGGATGCTGATATAAGTGATGTGATGCTATTGATGGCAAGATTTATAAACAATAACTGCTAGCCAATGGAGTGTAGGTTAGGTGACTTGCTATAAGCTAAGGAGGAGGTGATGGGCTTGTATGTGGGTATTGGAATAGTGCTTTGAGAATCTATTGGTAGAAACTTAGAATGGAGAGGATGTGTTGTATAATGCAATTGTTGGCTAAGTATAGTAGAGGATCTATGATGGTGAGTTGGA